TTTAGTGGCAACTATGAACTGGTACACAATCAAAATATTTAAACAGGGTAGATGCTGGTAGAATGTTTCCTATGGTTGGAGTATAGAACTAAGGGGCACAAATTTAAAATAAGGGGGATGTCACTTAGGTCCAAGACAGAGAAGAAATCTCTAGAAATAGTGGAGGCATTGGTGATCATCTAACAGGCTTCTATAGACTCTGGAACAGTCCCTGCAGATTGGAGAGTGGCTAATGTCACTCCAATATTCAAAATGGGGGATAGAGAGAAAACAGGGGATTAGACCAGTGAGCCTAACATCAGTAGTGGGGAAATTTATAGCAGAGCATTTAGAAAACAGTGGCAGGATCAGACAGACTCAACATGGATTTATGAAGGGAAATCAGGCTTGACAAATCTGTTGGAATTCTATGAAGATGTAACGAGTAGAGCTGACAAGGGGGACCCAGTCAATGTTGTATATTTGGACTTTCAGAAAGCATCTGACAAAGTCCCACATAAGAGATTAATGTGCAAGATTAAAGCGCATGGGATTGGAGTGAAATGTGTTGAGATGGATAGAAAACTGGTTGGCAGAGAGGAAACAAAGAGGAGCAATTAATGAGTCATTTTCAAATTGGCAGGCAGTAACTAGTGGGGTGCCACAGGGACCGATGCTGGGACCCCAGCTATTCACCATATATATTAATGATTTGGATGAAGGAACAAAATATAAAATCTCTAAGTTTGCAGATGATACCAAGTTGGGTGGGAGGGTGAACTGTGATGAGGACGCAGAGACCCTTCAGCATGATCTCAACAGGTTGGGTGAATGGGCAAATCAATGGCAGATGCAGTATAATTTGGATAAATGTGAGGTTATTCACTTCAGAAGCAAAAACAAGGCGGCAGATTGGTTGAATGGCAGTAAATTGGGAGAGGGGAGTGTGCAGCGAGACCTGGGTGTCCTTGTGCACCGGTGGCTGAAGGTAAGCATGCAGGTGCAGCAGGCAGTGAAGGCGGCAAATGGTATGTTGGCCTTCATTGCGAGAGGTTTTGAGTACAGGAGCAGAGATGTGTTGTTGCAGTTATACAGGGCCTTGGTCAGACCACACCTGGAATATTGCGTACAATTTTGGTCTCCTTGGAGGAAGGATGCTCTTGCTCTCGAGGGAGTGTAGCGAAGGTTTACCAGGCTGATTCTTGGGATGGCAGGTCTGATGTATGAGGAGAGATTGACTAGGTTGGGATTATTTTTGCTAGCGTTCAGACAAATGCGGGTTGGGGGGGGGGGGGGGGGGGGGGAGGATCTCAGAGACTCAAAGTTCTAACAGAACTGGACAGGGTAGATGCAGGGAGGATGTTCCCAATGGTGGGTGTGTCCAGAACCAGGAGGTCACAGTATGAGGATTCAGGGTAGACCATTTAGGACAGACGTGAGGAGAAATTTCTTCACCTAAAGCATGGTGAGCCTGTGTAATTTATTACCACAGGAAGTAGTTGATGTCAAAACATTGAATGTGTTCAAGAGGCGACTAGATATAGCACTTGGGGCGAATGGGATTAAACATTATGGAGAAAAAGCAGGATTAGGCTAGTGAATTGGATGATCAGCCATGATTGTGAAGAATGGCAGAGCAGGCTTGAAGGGCCGAATGGCCGCCTCCTGCTCCTATCTTCTATGTTGCTATATTTCTATGTTTTTATTCAGAGGATTGTGAAATGAAGCTCAATCTTTTGAGTATGGTTAAGGTGGAGATTGACTGATAGATTTCTGATTACCAGTGGCATCCAGGGTTATGTAGATGGAGTGGGTAAAATGTCTCAATGCTCGATCAGCCACAATTGCACTGAATGACAGAGCTGGCTCAATGGGCAGAATGGCCACCTCCTGTTTCTGTGTTCCTGAGCGCACCCGCATAAAATGGAGGGTGATTTCAGTGCCCACACACCAACTCTAAGTAAATAACTAAGCATCAATAGGGTCTGCTAAAATCTCTCTTGACCTCCGAATTACCCTATCCACACATTTGTACCATAAGTTTTGGAAATTGGATGACCTGTTTATTAAAATAGTGAGAAGGAAGTGAATCTGGTACTACGTTTGGAGGGTAACGTTTGGAATCTTATCCCCTCAATCAGATTGGGACTTCCGCCACAATGATTTTCAGAAGATCAAGTCTCCAGCATTTCAGCCTTCCCAACCAAGTTAATGGTTATAGCATGGGCTTCCTCTGGTCCATTGGCTTGCTACTGACTATCCTGAGGAGGGCAAGCAGTCCACCCCTCCATCCTTATTGGCCAAAGAATACAAAAGCAAGACGATGGGGCTAGAACTATATAAAACACATCTCGGGTACTGTACAGTTCTGATCATCACGTTACAGGACAGGTCTGATTGCATTAAAGAGGATACAGAGATTTATGAGGATGTTGCCAAGATTGAAGAAGAATGGATGTGACGTAATAGCTAAAAGGACCAGTGGGAGTTGAGGTGAAAACTGAAATGAGAATGGTCGTGACTCCAACTTGCCAACTGAAAGGACAGAGAAACCAAAAAAAAAGTCTCACTGCCATTAATAAGTACTTGGATGTGTACAAGTAGAGCCATAAGCTACAAGACTAGGACCTAAGCTAAAAGTGATTTTGGCTGGTTAGCTATTTTTCAGTTAGCACACAGACGATGGGCAGAACGGTCTACTTCTTTATGAATTTATTCACCTGTGAATGGTTCACTCTGAAGAAATTTAGTGTAACTGATAGCATTTTCTGGATTTCCATACCTAATGGCACATGGTGACTCCAGAATATGCTGCAAGTTTGAGGGGAATTTGAAACAAATATTTTTATATCAACTCCTGGACGTGTGACAACACATCTGAGATAGGTAAGACTTGAATTAGCTGGCCCAGAGTTAGGAACACAACCATTGTGCCATAAGGTTCGCTTTGTTTCAGAACAGTAAAAATGACAAACACTAGCAGTTTCATCACGTTACTACCATAAAATTTGAGCTTTAAAAATGTTCTCTCTCCTTTTCGCATCCAATCTAAAGGCACTAACACACTACCCTTAAAACAACCAACAACAACCAGTACACACCAATAGAGAAGATGATCAAGCTGAGACTAAATCTACTGTCACATATGCATTTTGGTAAGGACAAAATGACTGACACTATAATAGTGGGTACAAGTTCAAAAGGCAGAGCAGGAGCAAAGGGACCCGTGTATACATGCACAGATCATTGAAGGTAACAATATGGGTGGACAGAGCAGTTACTAAAACAGTCTTCAGCTTTACTCATTGGCTATCAAATACAAGAGCAAGGTGGTGATGTTGATCTTGTGTAAGACACTTGTTAGACCTCAGCTGGAGTAGTGTATAGTAGTAGCTCTGGGTGTCAATTTATTGAACAGATGTGAATGCATTGAAGTGCAGAAGTGGCTTACAAGATTGGTTCCAGGGATGAAGAACTTTAGTTATGAGGATCGATTGAAAAAGTTGGGACTGTTCTCTTTGGAAAGAAGGCAGCTCAGAGGAAATCTGACGGGATTTTTCAATCATTACTGGCCTAGATTGACTGGTGCTGAGGGTAAAAAAAGTCAAGAATGAGAAGGCACAGATTTTGACAATACAGTATGGGGCTGGAGGAACGCAGCAGGCCAGGCAGCATGAGAGGAGCAGGAAAGTTGACATTACAGGTCGGGACCCTTCCTGACCCGAAATGTCAACTTTCCTGCTCCTCTGATGCTGCCTGGCCTGCTGTGTTCCTCCAGCTCCGCACTGTATTGTCTCTGACTCCAACATCTGCAGTTCTTGCTATCTTTGAGGCATAGATTTAAACCGATTTGCAAAAGGAGCACGTTTGATGCAAGGGAAAATCTTTTTATAGGGAGAATAGTTAGAGTATGTAATGCACTGCCTGGAGATGTGGTGGAAGGAGGTTCAATTGAGACATTCAAGATGGTAGCAATTAGATAGCAATTTGCCTACTGCATAGAAATAATGATGTGCAAGGATATTGGGGAAAGAAAAAGGAGATTGGCACAAGGTAATGATGCTTACTTGAAGAGCTGGTGCAAACTCAATGGACTGAATGACTTCCTTCTGTGCCGTAACACTTCTATGATTTAGCCTTTCCATCCACAATGACTTCCCGCCAAGATTCATAAATTGACACATACATGAAAATTGGTCACAATTGAAGTGGAAGGGGGACCTCAGACAAATACAATCCTGTTCTCCAAATTTATGTAGTAATAATCTTTCCACAAAGATCACTGGAAAGCAATCCTGTGATATAAACCGTTTCTTCCAATTTAGTATCTTTAGACTTTTCTGGTTCAGATCAGCTTTCTAACAGAGACCAGGCAATGAGCCCCCCTTGTGGGAACACCCTACATCTTTTACAGCTGTTCCCATTAGTGTAATGTACTCATCATGCTCTGAGATTATTTTTGATAGGAGTCAAGATGATCTCAAACATACCTGACCTTGTCTTTTTTTAAAATTCACCTCTCTCCATGGTTTATTTTGACTGGTACTGCATTACCAGAGACTGCCACAACACTGTTTATTTTTTAGCTTTGAAAATGTCCAGAGATTCCAACATCCTTTAAATTGTGACAAGGAATCTGAGGAAACTTTTGAGCAATAAGTCTATGTTTTTAAGTCCTGATCAAGGGCACTTCTGCTTTGCAATTCCAATTCTAATTCAGGAGCAGTGGTGATATAATGGCCTCCCAGAGCTCTTCCTCATTTATAATCCCACTAACTGCCATCTTCCATGAGAAACTGGGCAAGAAGCAAAGCCACTGAATCGAGGCTCAAATCACAAGGCGCATGAGAATGTATATTTTCTCTGCTGCTGGAGTCAATACTACAGAGTGAGGGAAAGGGTTATTTCATCGTGAATGGTTTCAGTAATGAGAATGCTCACACCTTCAAGTCTGTGGAAGATCTGAATTTTCAAATGCAGTAGACTTTTTTGCTCCCTGCATATAAAGAATCAAGTCTTACCTTCTGCTTATAACGAAGGCTGAGATCAATATCACCAGTAGAACTGCACTGCCAGCCACAGACACAAGTAAAACAGTGGGGCTGGCACCATCACCAATGATAGCTGATGGAGCTGGACACAAACAGAAAAAGGTACACGAGTTTCTTAATCTACAGATCTGATCTCATCATACGACACAAAGTCAAACATCATAATAATTATAGAGACACTTTATCTATAGGTGCACTGCTGTTAGAAATTGAACTGAACTAAACGTTAATACATTAGGTCCTTCTGTTGAGAAATGAATATCCTCATCTGTCAGAGGTTAACTCTGGCCTATTGTATTAAGCTACACTGATCTCCTCCAGAGCAAGGGTAGAAGACTTAAGGTTAGTCTTGAACTCCCTCAGCTAAAGAGATGAGAACAAAGCAGCCATAGTTCAGCTACCACTACCTATTCACAAATCCCTGCCAGAAAATCCAGGTCAGCTTATTGGTTGATGGCAGTTTTAACTTCAGTTGTGATGCTTGCATAGCTGAATAACCTGCTGGCATTCATCACCTAGGGTCATATAATCAGGTTTTTTTGAGCAAGTATTGAACGGATGCTGTCTATAGATCCGTACCCGACTCAATTAAAAAAATGTTTAAATCTAAATTTCAAACTGTTGAAGAATATCAATGTAACTGACAAACGATTTCTGAACTACTTAATACCTGAGTTTGTTATAAACTGAAATGGGGCACTGAAATCACCATATCCAGCAGCAGTTCGTGCACGAACGTGAAACATGTAGGCTGTTAATGGGTTCAAACCCTTGATTTCTGTGTTCCTTGAGAGAGTTTTAACAATTCTGTAACTGCGTTCATTCTGATCCTGTACAAAGATATAAATCACTGTGTTAGAAGGGAAACAGTTAAAACAATGAGCTGATACTCACATTGAGAATAAAAGACTCAAGCTTTGTCTTCAGGATATGCACATATTAGAAAAGAAAGGGTATGTCCTGTGTTTACTGCTCAGTGTGCTGTTAGTGCTCCATTCATAAGGACAAAGCCAACTAGAAGACACGGTCTCTGTAAAGACTGATTTTACAAGATGTATAGAATGGACAATGCAGAAAAGGCAGCTACAAGAAATCTACATTATAACCGGAGTTGTTCAAGTGAAGAGCTATTAAACTGTAAATACCAGTTGGAAGTTTACTGACACAACCTGCAGTTTATAATGGAAACACAAATGATAGAGATGACTTTATTAAACAACAGTGTATTGTTAGATGCTACTTTGTTGTTAAGATCAAAGGAAAGTTGAAACTTAAGAACTTTGAATGGAAAAAGACATTTAATAGCCCCAGAGATCCTAGGTGTGCAAGTACGAAAGAGCTTTGATGGACCAGAAAGCCTCTTTCTGCCCTGTACTATTCAATATTCCTTTACAACAATGACAGTTTCACATGTTGATCACCACTGACCTTTTCATAGTACTTGATCTCGTATTCCAGAATTACACCATTTGGTCGCTCAGGTTCTGGCCAAACCAATGTAACTCCATGTCTTGTTATTTCCTTTGCTTGTATTAGACTGACTGAAGATGGAGCTGAGTGGAATAAATGCACCAGTTAACCAACTTATGAAGAAAAGACTCTTGATACAATTAAGAGATAACACAGTGTGGAGCTGGAGCCCCATTTCTGAGGAAGGGTCCCAGCCCGAAACATCAACTTTCCTGCTCCTCTGATGCTGTCTGGCCTGCTGTGTTCCTCCAGCTCCACACCGTGTTATCTCTGACTCCCAGCATCGGCAGTTCTTACTATCCCTTGATACAGTTAATCCTTTATACGCTCTAACCATTGTGGAGGAATTTAATTTTTAAAAGTAAATAATTTCATTACAAGGAAAGTGTTTAAAAATATATTTTGTTGTATGGGCGGGTTTCCAGACAGGAAGTGCTATTGAACAGATTTAATCTGTAAACTCCACATCATGTTGTCGTCCCCCCAGATGTTTTGCGATTCAGGAATCTTTGTACATACCTAATCTAAAGATGTTGTCATCAGGCCTTAATAGAGGGAACAGAACTAGGGCTGCATTAAAAAAGAATATAACATGCTATTCTTTTAAGAATGTGTTATTTTTAATAAAATTTGATCAGACACGTTATGACACACTTGCAGGATAGGTGGGATTTGAACCTGGACTTCTTGACCTAGAGGTGGTGCCACTACCACTGCCACAATAGTCCTACATTTAAAAATGTGGTCTACCTGAGAATCCCATTCACAGGTTAATTTACCAACATGGCTGCCTGTAGCTCATGCAAATGAATTTTTATTGATTGCAAATTGATTTCTCCTGGTCAGAAGAAGTTTAGCCCGTTGTCAGAATCACTAGATGTATTGATGAACAGAGATTGATCAGGACCAACAACATTAGTCTAAGAGCCACAGTGTCTTTCGTCAAAAGCATGCTGGCATTGAAGTCAATTTCTCTAACTTGAACAGAGTTCATCTACTTTCAGACTGAAGTAAACACAGAACAATTGTTAGAGCTTCCTAAACCAAATATTCTTGGCATAGTCTTATCAAAAGCATAGTGGTGAAAAAAATATTAGTCCAACCAAGCAATTGTTAATCAACAGAATTCACATTACAGATAGTAATAGAAATCTGTAACTTTTGCTGTGTTTTGGAGACAATATTTTATAGCTTGTAAGTACCATTATCAATGTACTTATACATTTTCAAGTTGAGAATTATCTCCGTGTACTTTGGTGGATAGCTTTCAAGCAAATATTTACCTCAACTATAACAACAACAGAAATATCCTGCTTAAGAAAAAGGAAAATCAATTTCCGTTCCCAAACCTTGCTCATTAGCACATGACATGTGCTGGAACTATTAGGGATCAGGCTTGTCTGTGATGACTTCATGTTTGAATTTCACTGCCGAAAATTAGCCATTTAGTCATAGTATAGTACCCAAAATCTCACACTTCAGTCAAAAGTAAATGCCTGGAGAAGGGACAGGAATAAAATTGATGCAGCAGAAATCAAATGCGAAAAATGAGGCACTGAAATCTGTATTTTCATCTGGTTATAGCAAAAATGGATTTCTTTCCTCTTCTGGTTTACCTCCTATCTCTTGCATGAAATCTACTCTGAGATTATCTGTCTGAAGTAAAATCTCAGCTGATGATATATGACAATTAGCTGCTGGCTGGAATATCCCTTTCTTGTGTTACATTTTATTAAAATGCAGTACAGCCTTGGAATGTTCATTTTGTTGTATCCAATGCTCTTCCACTCTGCCCAGATGTGAGCAAACTCTTTGACTACATTCACTTCCTCAATGCCCTGCTATTCTACACCCTCAACAGTTTTATTGCTGCCGTCCTTAGCTGGAGACTGGCATTTCCAGTAGTGGAGAACGGCTTTGTTCTGTGTGGCAAGTTCTGTTCACTAATTTTCAAGATATTCAAGAATCAGAACCAGTTGAAGTTGCCTAAGAGACCAATGTACAGAAGTAAAACAACTGATCCATTAAAGACACCAAAATAAGATAGAAACAGTTGCAAAACTGGCTCCTTATTGCTGGTGGTGAACAAATACAGCCAAATGTATAACAATTCACTTTTAAATTCTGGAACACACTTAGATCACTGTTTTCATTTTTATGGTTGAAAATATTTTCTTTTGCAGTAGTAAAACCACTAATGACAGTGGATAGTTGGCAACCAGACTTTATGGGAACATGGCAGATCTCACAAATGGTCAGTTGTATGATTCTAGACGTTGAATTCCAGAAAACCTACTCCTGATATGGGAGAAAGTAGTGGATAATCCCTGAACTTTGGGGCAGTCTGTCCAGCATCAATTTTTAAAAAAAAATCTAAATTGATGAGTCTTAGAACAGGTAAAGCTGGACTGGTTTGTGTTATTCCAAGTAGACTCATCTTGTAGTTCAGTGGATTTAAACAGCAGCTAACACTTCACTTTAAATACAGTTTAGGTTATTCACGTCAACAATATTTTAACTGAAACTACAGGTTATGCACAGTGAGGGACAATTTCAAGAGCCAACATTAGATTAATGGAGCTTTGCAAGAACAATGTTATTCCATTTAGCTGGAAATACAGAATTGGAGCTCAAGTTAACTTTACTGTAACAATGACCGAGGAAGCATGCAGTTTACTTGCAAAATGGAAATATAGAATTGACATTATTTTCAATTTCAAACATTAATCTTCAGGTGGCTTTCACATCCCTGTATTAAAATGTACTTCTACTAAGCAAAGTACTGTTGATTTGTTTCTGCCAATTCTCTCCATTAAATGTAAGGTATTTTCTTAAAATCTGGTAATGGAGACTTATGGCCTGCCAAGAGAAACATGGCACCTTACTACAAATGTTTCCTTGAGTCAGCTTTGATTCGACTAAATATCAAAACAAAGCACTCTGCTGGAAAGCAATTTGCAGGTGACACGTTTTTAAAGAACTGCTGCATTTTCAATATTTGTTTGGCTGTCTCTCATTATTTAACCATTAGAGAGTGCATTTTTTTTTGTTAACCGAGCTGAGAAAAATAAAATCAAATAGCAAGGTTGGAAAAAATGTTGCTTAAAGTCAGATCACAAATTCATTACATGTTCCAGTTTCTAAATGTATTGCAATTTGTTGAACTGAACCGACTACAAACCAAGTGGTAAGGAGTTAATCTATTACTGCACCTTTCAGTCAAGGAATACAACCCATTGATCATTTTGCTGGAACTGCTGCTCTGTTCCAGTAAATAGATTTGGTCGAAATATGTCATCTGTACTTCTAATGTGTTATGGCTATCTTTAACAATTAAGCACTGCCATTTGTGTTCTCAAATCAATCACGTCAAAACAAATCAGCAAAAAATGAATTTGAGAACCTCTGGGGACACTGGAAAGTATAAAACAATTTGGGATTTTACTGTGATTGAACATCACAAGGCTAGAAACAGCTGGTTTTAGCAATTTTCATGTTGCTTAACTGGTGTTCCTTAGTAATGTCTTCTGTATCTTAAGTTGATTTCTGTGATTCTGTTACATATTGTCTACCTACAACACAGGGCGGAGCTCCAAAAGTGACTGACGTTTTTGATCACTCTAAGTGTGCAAGTAAACCCAAGGCTATTTCTAAACACTATTAGAACCATTCCAAATTATGCTGCTGCTTTTGTCACAGAATCTCTAGAGTGTGGAAGCAGGCCATTCAGCCCATCGAGTCCACACCGACCCTCCAAAGAGCAGCCTACCCAAATCTATTCCTGCAACCCTGCATTTCTCATCGTTAATCACTGACCCTACACATCCCTGAACACTATGGGCAATTTAGCATGGCCAATCCACCTTACCTGCATATCTTTGGATTGTGGGAGGAAACCAGAGCACCCAGAGGAAACCCACGCAAACATGAGGAGAATGTGCAAACTCCAAACAGACGGTCACCTGAGGGTGGAATTGAACACGGGTCCCTGGCACTGAGGCAGCAGTGCTAACCACTGAGCCACCATGCTACCCCACTCTTACCTAATTTCATGATTATTAAAATGTCCAACAAATAAATCATTATTTATGAAAAACTTAATTTTTACATATCTTTTGCATGTCATAACAGAAAGATACTTTATTCTTTTTAATGAGTTTAGCTGATGGTAAATGCATTGTTCTTCATACATTGCTCAAGTCTAAGGACCCAACATATCAGCATTAAAGAGCCACCAAAATGTGATTCTTAATCCATCAGTTTAAGATTGTGTCAGTAAATGTGGGAAACAACTATTCCATTTAAGCCGGGAAGCAAAAGTCACTCTTGGAGATGGGAAGATTTTTTTTTTTTTTTTTTTACAGGTAGTCTGCAAACTACAGACAATGCCATATTTTAGAAGCATTGTTATTGTTCTAACATGAAATGCAGTGGTCAAAATGACCCATCATAGGTGCAATTTAAAGGAAATGTACAGGCATGGACAGTGAGAGAACGCCCTTGCTTTTTTCTGTGCAGCAACTGGGCACTTTCATATTCAGCTGAGAAGGTGTACGAGACCTTGGTTTCACACTTAATTTGGATGTTGAGCCCTCCAGCAGCACAGTACAACACTAAAGTGTCAGCCTAGATCATGTGTTCAAGTCTCCAAAGTGGAACTTGAACTAAAATCCATCTGACTCAGGCAAGAGTGCCACTATTGAGCCAATTCTGACAAATTATTTATCAATCGAGCCTTTGGAGAAGAATCAGCGTATTTTTTTTTTTAAAAAGAGGAAACCAGTTAAGTCAAATGTTCCTAAAAGCTTCATGTGTACATGTATCTACTGAATTGCTGGAACATTCTTCGTATTTGTTGCAATGCTTTAAACAGGGAAAAATAGAACCAGCAATGAATTTTTGAATAACTTAAATGAATTTAAGCACTATATACTGCACACGAGTCAAGTTTTACAATTGGAGAAAAGATGGCTGTGAACCAGCTGACTTGAACCAATTGACTTTAAAAAAAAGGCAATCTCACAGCGACAGCATGCTACCAGCGGTCTCAGTGAAGAGAGAGTGGACTTTCATCTATCAGAGG